GAACAAACAAGTAAGTTTTTCTCAACCAGCAAGTGTAGAACAAACAAGTAAGTTTTTCTCAACCAGCAAGTGTAGAACAAGCAAGTAAGAGTTTTTCTTAACCAGCAAGTGTAGAACAAACAAGTAAGAGTTTTTTCAACCAGCAAGTGTAGAACAAACAAGTAAGAGTTTTTCTCAACCAACAAATGTAGAACAAACACGTAAGAGTCTCTCAACCAGCAAGTGTAGAACAAACAAGTAAGAGTTTTTCTCAACCAACAAGTGTAGATCAAACAAGTAAAGATTTTGCTCAGCCGACAAGCCGTACCTTTACATATTTAAGACACACGGCTGGTTTTATCAGTAGCTTCTAATCTATACATAATCCCGAGTGCATAACGCACCTTCACAGATCTGAGAAGTTCAAACATCAACTTGATAATTATATGTTAAGTATTCTGTGAATAGTTACATCTCGCGAGAGCGATAAAAATGAAGCTACATGTGACCGTTTTTGTTTTGTTTTGAAGTTAAGCACAAAGCTGCACAATGGGCTATCTGTGCTCTGCCCACCACAGGTATTGAAACCCGGTTTCTAGCGTTGTAAATCCGCAGAAATACCGCTGTGCCACTGGGGGTCCCATGTGACAGGCAGTGAACGTAAACAATTATCTTAGGTTTTTAGTTTATAAGGTTTGTACAATATTACTTCACAGAAACAAGCAAATCTTTGTTACTTGATGTAAGGCCTAATACATACACTAGACGTGGATGAACAAACACAGATTGACAGAAATACAGAGAGATAGATAGTCGGACAAACACAGATATAACAAACAGACGAACATAGATAGTTAGAAAAGACTGACAGATGAGCGGACAGAGAGGTACAACTAAACAAAGTGATAGATAGATGAGCGGAAGACTGCCAAACTGTTCCCAGATCTTATCAAAAGTATTCATCCTCTATAAACTTTTATAGATTGGTCATTATCTTATTTTGAGTTGTACTTTTCTTGGACTTATGTTGGTTGTACAACACTTTATATATATGATACTTTTATCACTTATGCATTTTAAATATAATTACCTTCGGTATTCTTCCTGCTTACGATTTATTTGTTCGATCAAAGCTATTCGAGGTCTGTCTGTCCCTAATTTATAAGTTATAGACCAGACGGAAGACACTTAGTCAATACCGACTAACGCCAACTCTTTGTCAACAAAAAGTGGAATTGACCATCACTTATAACGCCCTAGCGGCTGAAAAGGTGAGCATGTTCAGAGACGGGATTCAATCCAATAACCCACACATTGCGAATCGGGCACCCCAACCGCCAGATCTCTAATTATGGTAACGGACCAAATAGTAAACATTTAGTTGATCGGAGAGACAATCAAATATATATACAAACAAGAGCACATATCTAAGAAAATTATCTGTTAGAACGTATAACTTTCTTCTATGTTTATTATAAAGGTTAGGAAGAACAGAAACCATCAGATTACAGAGCTATCTACCTGTTATTATTTAACCCTTTGTAAGTTATGTGTCAAATCTTACCTTTGTTGACTGACGTCTTCGTGAAGATGCTTTCAGGTACTTCACTGGTTATTACACATGACGACCCTGTATACGGACTTCTCTGGAATTGTAGTAGAAGGAACACTTCGACATTTCTGAGTGTCGTGAGAAGAACACTAGTTCGATGTTACGTTACAGTTGCATGTTTTAAAGCTACAAAGTTTTGTGTTCGATAGTGCTACGAATAATCGTAGTTGAACAACACATTAAAAGTAGAGATCTAATTTTCCACAAAACAACCTGTATGTTGTTCTGTTTTGAATTTCTTTCCACAAAACAACCTGTATGTTGTCTATTTCTCACCTGGGAAGACAGTTTGCAACTTGCACTATTCTTTTAATGTACGAAACATAAGGAATGGATTTAGGATCAAAGAGGGAAACAGCAGCGATATAAGTCCGAATTCTTCCGTGGAACTTGTAGCATCTTTTAAACTTCTTTCCAAGACACTGAAACCACGCCTACTGTTACGCTTACCCAATCACAAATGACAAACAGAAATAATAGGGCTGTGGAAGACAGGGAGATAAGAAATGTAGTGGGTAAATGGAAGAATCTTAGAGGAGAAGGAGTGAAGAAACTGACTAAACTTATCACGGGGCACAGTGCTTAACAGAGAGTGTATCGCATTTCAAAGTAGAAGCCCGAAACTAAGCAATAGGACGAACCATATTATGTTGGCGTCCTAAAGAGAAAAGGACAATTCCAAGTTATAGAACTGTGTACACGGATAACTGATGTTGATATCAAAACGTTTCTTACGTAAAATACGAAAGGAACAACCACAATGTATGTTCTTACGATTACATCACCTGAGTGTACTTACTACACATGTTCAGTCCTTATAACATTATTGGAAGTGTCGACTATATCAAATAACGCAAGCCATGTAGAACCACTAATAAACACGAGGTTTTGTCATGTCAACAACCACGGTGCAAGAACTCATGGTATCAGAGTCGTGCAATAGTATCTGGGCAATTCAAGAAGCAGAGGCTTAGGGAAAATTTGTAAGTAAAGTTAAACAAACCAATGTATTTGTTGTGACGAGTAGACCTTATCGTGTATATCATGATACAGGTATCCGTATTATGTTGTTATGAGTCACAAAGATATACAATGTATATTGTATATCTTTGTGACTCATAACAACTTGATACGGATACATTACATATCTCTGTGACCCATAACAACATAATACGGATACTTTGTATATCTTTGTGATGTTAACAACATGATACGGATACATTGTATATCTTTGTGACTTAACAACATGATACGGATACATTATATATCTTTGTGACTCATAACAACATAATACGGATACATTGTATATCTTTGTGATGTTAACAACATGATACGGATACATTGTATATCTTTGTGATGTTAACAACATAATACGGATACATTGTATATCTTTGTGACTCATAACAACATAATACGGATACATTGTATATCTTTGTGACTCATAACAACATAATACGGATACATTATATATCTTTGTGATGTTAACAACATGATACGGATATATTGTATATCTTTGTGATGTTAACATAATACGGATACATTGTATATCTTTGTGACTCATAACAACATAATACGGATACATTGTATATCTTTGTGATGTTAACAACATGATACGGATACATTGTATATCTTTGTGACTCATAACAACATAATACGGATACATTGTATATCTTTGTGATGTTAACAACATGATACGGATACATTATATATCTTTGTGATG